ATAGCATCGGTTTGGATATGCTTTTCCATATTGGTAATAGTTCGTGATGTGAATTCGGACAGATTCGTTATTGTGGACTTTCCTTTAACAAATCCATGCTGGCTATCATGGATGATATTTTTTATGTGGAAGTTCAGGTGATTAGCAATAATGGAATCTAGCAATTTGGAAATTACACATTGTAGAGCAACACCACGGTAGTTGTCGATTTTAGTTTTAACGCCACTTTTGTGTATTGGTCGTACATAAGATCTCTTCCATATATCAGGTACGAAACCAGTTTTAAACGATTCACTCAATATGCGTGTTATCGGTTTTATCAATGTGTGGATGCACCTTTTAATAAAAATGTTTGGAATTCCATCCGGGCCAGATACTGTATTGGTTGGCAACTTATTGACCGTTTCCAGAATAAGGTCTTCGGTGATATCAATTGTTGGAATATTAAGGCACAAATCTCTCAGGAACGATTCACAGTCTTTGTAATTATTAACGGGAGTATCATTTTGTGTATATGCTTTCGTGAAATGATTTGCAAATGAGTCAGCAATGTCTTGTTGTGAACTTAATTTATTGCCATCATACTCCATCTCGCTGGGCAGATCGTCATGTGTTTTTCTGCATGTATTCACAGTAGTATAGAAATGCCGGTTTCATCCCGCAATAATTATTTCCCAAACATATGTTCGCTTCGTTGCGCTCAGATTATGCACATTATACCGTGGTTGAAACATACATTTGTACTAGGTAGTGTTTGCTTCAAATTCATTGAAAATTTTTATTTTTCTTTATTGTTTATCTCGGTCCATCTAATCCAAAGTAGAGCGAAGCGAGCAGAGAAATACAGTATTTAATGCTTGTTGTGCATGTGAAATGAGTGTTTGTTTACCTGCTTTAACGTTGTGTGTTCGCTCACTCAAACACACATTCAATAATAAAGAAAAAAAAAAAAAAATAAAACTTTACTTTATTTGACGGTGAGCAAATTATTAAGTGTGTATGTATAAATTATTATTATTTTCATGTGTGTATGTAAGAATGTTTGTAAACACATATATGTATTTACACACCTATTTCATTAAACTAGTTTTTATTTGCATATACACAAATGTAGATGCAATAATTTATGTCGATCAATGAATACTCAATTCGTTCTGCTTTTATTGTCACTGCGACGTTATGGTTTTTAATTATGCTTCATTTCCCAGTTTGATTCTCTCTCTCTCTCTCTCTCTCTCTCTCTCTCTCTCTCTCTATCCCTCTCAAACTCTCACTCGCATTCTTGCAAATCAGAAGCTAAATAAAATTAATTTTTTCAAAGAAATAATAAGAACAAAAACAAAAATACTAACATAGAGATATAGCATGCATAGAGCAATTATATGCATGAAGCTTTATGAAATATCTATACAGAAAGTAGGAAAAAAACATGAAGCAAAGACATTGGAATAAAAAAATGTAAAATAATTTTATTACAAAAAAAATACAGCAGGTGTACGAAGGAGATGCACATTCAAACAACAGAGATTTACGTTCACAATTTTGTTTGATTTATTCTCACATTAGAAAACCAAAAATTTTAAGCATGTGCATACAAAAACAAATTATTAGTAAACATATAATAAACTCATTGATTTTAAGAGAAATTGATTTGTTTGTGAATATTTTGAAAACAGTTTCGAACATGAGCTTAAAATTTCTTACTATTCTTATGTGATCATACACACATACACAAATTTTCTATGTTTGGTTTCATGCCCGCACTAAAAAGATGTAAATATTCCAAGCCCATTGCTCTAATCACTGAGCTACATCGATCTGTAGTAGCTATATGAGAAAAGTATATATATGTGCGGTTCCTTAGACGCATGTGAATTTTTATAATGAACGATCGAACGAACGACAACAACAGCAGTCCAATTTATTTTAAATGGACAACGATAAAGTGGGTATAGAAAAGTATTGTATGTGCGATCAAGTTGTTGTATTCAAACCGAAAAGGTGCACTTGCTTGAACAATGTTATTTTAAAAGGTGCTTTTATTTTAATATCTTATTTTATGTATCCGGATCAATGATTTTCAAAGAAATTCATGGTGGTATTTTGTTCCTTTGATCTTGTGTGCGTAGAAAATTTTACAACCATGATTTTTTCGATATTCAGAATTTTTTGTTTCATTTTTTTACCGTTGTCGCAAGGTGAGCAAAAGATCTCTCTCTCTCTCTCTTTTCACACTTTGTTTACAATTATGTAAAGTTTATATAGTCAGTAGATGACAGCAAAATTTGAGTCGATAAGAGAATAAATAATTTTTTAAGTTTATACGTGTAATTGTAATGTTGTGTAACATTGAAATTCCTATTATTCAAATATCAATTTTAAAATTTATTAATTTACTCGAGATGCTTTCACAGTTATGAGGTAAACAAAAAAAATAAAAAACAAATGAAATGTTTGAATAATTATTTGATAATTTTTACTGATAAAATACTGATACTGAATCAATTATTTTTGTTCCGTGAACAATTAGCCAAACGAATCACATTTGTTTGAGTAAACGAATCCCACATTCGATTGTCAATTCAGTCATTATTGCAATAATTAAAAAAATTTTTGAATACTTTATATTTGTATATTGATTCGTTTGAATTTTTCTTTTAATGTCTTTTTTGAATGGCATGATAAAAAGTGTTTATATAACAATTTCGAGAATGGAATTCTTACTACTTAACATTCATAAAATCCTGGATTGAAGTAAAGTTTTTTGCTAAAACCAATATCTTCAATGCAAGAAGTTTGCATTTGATTTTTTTCACCAACATATTCTTGCATTTGTTCGGCAATTATTTTTAGCATATTATCAAGATGCATCTTTGATGAATATTTCCAAAATACTTTTTTTCATTTTTTATTGTGAAAACAGAATCAGAAAACTATATTTTGTTATATTATATGTCGACTTATAATCAAATATCAAAAAAAGATCTTAACTATAGTTTGGAAGATGATGCAAAAAAGTTGAATGAAAAATATTGAACAGAAAAATTGAATTCGAATAAGAAATCCATTTAATCGTGATGTTCCAATGAATGATGGAAACAATAATGTCGTTCGCAATGGGCACATTTGAGGAAACATAAGTTCGGACAAAAATCGGTTTCACACTTCACGTATCCTTTGTAACCCATACAAAATTGAACTGGTGTCTTGAATTCGGGAGGATGTTTTTGAGTATAACCAGCACGGAACCAAGCATATTTCAAAAGGGATTCAAAACGCTTTGCTTTCATCTGATAATATAGCATGTCCAAAATGCTCAGCAAATTTGCCCGTTGTGCCAAAATAAAATCATTGTGCATCCAACGCACTTTGTTACACACTCGACGAAAGAAGTTTTTAAATGGTCGATTGAAGTAAACATCGGCCGGTTGCAATCGGCTGGTTGTTTTGGGTGGTAATTCAACGATCTTCAATTTCTTCGCGGCAATTTCTGGCATTTGCATCATATAAAAAATGAAAATATATAGAAAAAAGAACAAAAAAACACAATGCTAAATTTTTGCATTTTGAAACAGTTTGTTGCTCAATTACAATGTAGAGTTTTGGTCATTTTCGTACAGGAGTCGTGTCCATTCTTCATTGTATCGCAAAATAAAGGCCCCAAATACACATTTTTGAATGATAAAAATGAAATAAAAATGTTCGAAAAATGTGTATTCGGAATATTGCGAATTGAAAACATATATTCATATCAGCCACATGGATGTACGAAAATTGAGTCAGAATATTTTCAAGTGTCTAGGATTGCTTATTGGATCAAAATGAATCGAATGTAGTAGTTAGATGAGTTTGGAAAGTTAATTTTCCTACGAATTTAAATTGATTGTGATTACTTTTTGACCACTCGTTCATTTTTTTCTCTATTTCAACGAAAATCTCGGTATTATACAGAACGTTCAAATGACTATATGTTAAAGATAAACTAACATTATTTTTGCTAAAAAGTATGTTCTAGCTACAGAAAACGCATGAATTTTGAAGAAATGTGGCACTTATAGTACACATTGATCGATTTTCGTCCAAAAAATGCAACTTTTGTAGAGAAAGTATGTTAAAACTTAATTTTATCGCAAAACTAAGGCTAAATTCGGTTTTCTCGTGCCAAAACCAACCACCCCCCCCCCCATACGAATTTCTAGGGAAAGAAAATGATCACAAATGTGAAATTGGAATACCTCCAAAATGCTCCAAAGGTGGTCTCGTATGAAATCTTCAAATCGATTTTGCGAAAAATAATTGCTCCCACGAGCCAAAATGGAAAGTGGTGTGGAGTTAGTCTATCGTGGGCCTACACCGTAGTATATGCGGTTTTGCTCAAAGCCTGCAACCAATAGTGATGTATCCTGTTAGAAATTTCCGGATTTAATGAAAAAGTCGATGCGGGGTCTATGTTCAATCAATAGTATCAATAGAAAAAAGAAAACGACTGAATTTAATGATACATTCTCTATTCTATTCCATTCGCAATAGCCAATTTAAATTTTGAAAAACAAACATAACCTCAACCTAAACCTCGATACCTTGATTCAATAGACCTATTTGTTCATTTTTCTTTAATAAGTTATAGATAATATGTAATTACAATCGATATTATCGATAAAAAAAAATTAAATTTGATTATTTTAAAATATTTTCAGTTTATAATTAAGTTCAGAGCATTTTTTAATTTTAAAAGTTTATATGTTTGTGTTTGTATACATATTTCCCCCCAAAAAAAACCATTTGATTCAAATTTTACAAATAGTCGATGATCGAAAAAATCCCAAATGGATGAGTATTCTCTATTCCATTTTGATTTTTTCTCTTTTTTTCGTTTAGTTTTTCTTTTTATCCATTAAACAATGAGTTAAACAATGTTACCTTTTAAATATAAATACGAATAGAACGAAAATCATAATAAACATAAATTGAGAGGAACGAAGAATAAAACACAAGAAAAATTTATTCATAAAATCGTTTTTAATGTGTTACGTTGTAAATGTTTGTATGAATTTTGATAAATTTCAAACGTAAAAAACCGAACGAATGATTTTTATACAAAAATGTTGATCCATTAAATTGGTTAATATGGAAAAAAATACAAAAAAACATTCTTTTCTTTTTCATTCAAGTGATTTGTTTCAGAGTTTTCTTTCCTTTTCTTTCAATTCAACATTGGGACTTCATATAGCCATTTGGTTTCATTAAATGATTTTCAGGAGGCCAAACTAGTCTCTGACTGCTTTAAGCCTATAAAATACACGTCCATCTGGACGTAAAAAAGCATTAGGTTTTGCTGGTGGTAACAAATCATCTAAATCAGATGCTGCAATCGAAATAAAATAAACGCAATTAGATGAATTTTCAATCAAATGATAAGTTGTGATTATTTACCTGGTTCAATGGGCACATTTGGTGTTTTGAAACGACAAATAAATGGACAACTTTCATGCATATATAATGCACTTTGAAAACTTTCAAAGCTACAAAAAAAATTCTTGCAAAAGGGACATGTTACTTTATTGCCTGGCCCAACGAAATAAAATCCAATTTTAGCCATTTTACGTGGATCGATGGACGGATCTGGCCATTTATCATCAAATGTTTTCAATCTCTCTTGCTCATAATACATTAAATTTTCAGCTCCCATTTGACTTTGCGTGGCTGATGTATTTGGTAGAGAAGTTTCTCTTTGTTTCTTGGACGCATTATCCGGTGAAATCGTATTTGATGTTGATGAGCTTTGGCTATTTTCCATTGTGCGTTTCATTTTTTTTTCAGCTTTGAATTGAAGTTTACCCAATGAAATGATTGTAAATATTAAATATCGATTCTTCCCTCAAATCATTTATTCAAGAAAACTGTAACAAAACGAACAAAAACGAAACATTAAAAATTACGTATTGAAAAGTTGTGGAGCACAGTTACTGAACTATATACTTCATACCTCTGGGATATTATCTCTATGATATTTTCACTTCATATTAATATTTTCATCGAAATGAAAATGATATAATGCTACGCAGTTAAAATTTGTGATATTTGCTGTGTTTAGGGAACTGACAAGCTGTCAACAAAATGTCACATGAATAAAACGTCAACAGCTATTTTTAACCGCTAACCGATTGAGACTATTGAGTAGCAAGGAAATTTCACAATAAGTTTATCTATAAAATAATTTAATAATTCATATACATTCCTAAATATATAAAAATACTCTCTCCAAAAATGGAAATGACTCCATTTCTGAATGAAATAAAATCACCGTTCCGCAATCCAATCGGGAAATCAAAAAAACTTAATGGAGATTATAATGGCAAAATCAAAATTTATTCAATGAATTCTCAAAATCGAGGTATTTTCTGTTTTGTTAACATCAATAACTTTCAAAGAAAGAAAGAGAAGAAACGAGAAGGTGGAAATATTGATCGAGATAAATTAGTGACATTATTTCGGGAAATGGGATTCGTATGCTATTACTACGAAGATATGTCGAAAGATGTAAGTATATATTTTCTTTGTTTTCGAAATATTATTATGAGGAATTAAGGCACAATTAGAAAAATTTTATATTTTACGTAGGAATTCATAGAAATGTTGAAAAAATTATCAGTCCGGTCGGATTTACCAAAATACGATTGTTTGGTACTTTCTGTATCATCGCATGGTAACGGTGATCGAAATGGGAACACCACTATTGAATTCAGTGACGGTGCTATGGTATATGTTAATGAGATCATAACATACTTCAGCAATGTCAGCTGCCCGCATCTGCTCGGAAAGCCGAAAATCTTCATATTTCCAAGTTGCCGGTAATATTATTACCTTCATTTTGCATTATGCATTACATATCATATTAATTTTTTCATCGCATTTTTTCCGAACAGAGGTCCAAGAACAGATCGTGCACTAGAACCAATGGAATGCGATAACTGCGATAGTAAGCCTCAAGAAATAGACACGATCACCGATCCGCAGCAAACGTTCTCGCATATGAAAATTTGTTTTTCGACGGTTGCAGGCTATTCATCTTTTCGGGATGCTGAAACCGGGTCTTGGTATGTTGATGTCATGAGCAAAGTATTTTGGAAATATTCATCAAAGATGCATCTTGATAATATGCTAAAAATAATTGCCGAACAAATGCAAGAATATGTTGGTGAAAAAAATCAAATGCAAACTTCTTGCATTGAAAATATTGGTTTTAGCAAAAAACTTTACTTCAATCCAGGATTTTATGAATGTTAAGTAGTAAGAATTCCATTCTCGAAATTGTTATATAAACACTTTTTATCATTCCATTCAAAAAAGACATTAAAAGAAAAATTCAAACGAATCAATATACAAATATAAAGTATTCAAAAAAAATTTTAATTATTGCAATAATGACTGAATTGACAATCGAATGTGGGATTCGTTTACTCAAACAAATGTGATTCGTTTGGCTAATTGTTCACGGAACAAAAATAATTGATTCAGTATCAGTATTTTATCAGTAAAAATTATCAAATAATTATTCAAACATTTCATTTGTTTTTTATTTTTTTTGTTTACCTCATAACTGTGAAAGCATCTCGAGTAAATTAATAAATTTTAAAATTGATATTTGAATAATAGGAATTTCAATGTTACACAACATTACAATTACACGTATAAACTTAAAAAATTATTTATTCTCTTATCGACTCAAATTTTGCTGTCATCTACTGACTATATAAACTTTACATAATTGTAAACAAAGTGTGAAAAGAGAGAGAGAGAGAGATCTTTTGCTCACCTTGCGACAACGGTAAAAAAATGAAACAAAAAATTCTGAATATCGAAAAAATCATGGTTGTAAAATTTTCTACGCACACAAGATCAAAGGAACAAAATACCACCATGAATTTCTTTGAAAATCATTGATCCGGATACATAAAATAAGATATTAAAATAAAAGCACCTTTTAAAATAACATTGTTCAAGCAAGTGCACCTTTTCGGTTTGAATACAACAACTTGATCGCACATACAATACTTTTCTATACCCACTTTATCGTTGTCCATTTAAAATACATTGGACTGCTGTTGTTGTCGTTCGTTCGATCGTTCATTATAAAAATTCACATGCGTCTAAGGAACCGCACATATATATACTTTTCTCATATAGCTACAACAGATCGATGTAGCTCAGTGATTAGAGCAATGGGCTTGGAATATTTACATCTTTTTAGTGCGGGCATGAAACCAAACATAGAAAATTTGTGTATGTGTGTATGATCACATAAGAATAGTAAGAAATTTTAAGCTCATGTTCGAAACTGTTTTCAAAATATTCACAAACAAATCAATTTCTCTTAAAATCAATGAGTTTATTATATGTTTACTTATGATTATTACTTCGTTCAAAAAGACGCGATTTTCAACGCTCGTGTACGCCTATGTGCATTAAAGAACGAGTGTTCCTGTGCATAATGAGCAACGATTGTGCCTGTGCATGTGTGCAAGTGAAAGAGCTATTGTGATTTAATTAGCGATCTTTCATCTGGAAATATATGCATGTATGCGTGTGTCTATATATGATTATTGTTTCTGTTTGGTAACAAGGTACAAATGTTAGTATTAGATATTTAGTTGAAGTGAAAACAATAATGTTTTTTCATTATCGAAAATGAGCAATTTTGTACCAAATAAAGTATTTTTGCGGGGGATTTTACTCCATTACTTCAATATAAAGAAAAACGCTTCTGAAAGTAGTCGCATTTTAGTAGAATTTTATGGTGATCATGCTCCGACTGAGCGAACGTGTCAGAAGTGGTTTACTCGGTTTAAAAGTGGTAACTTTGACCTGGAAGATGATAAGTTTGAAGATGAAGAAACGGAGACGTTACTCAATGAAAATTTGTTTGCAATGAAGAAGCAAGAAGAAATTGTAAATACACATGAAGTAACTCCGCGAGAAATTCCATATCAATATCGTTTAAACAGCTTGGGAATATTTCTAAAGTCAATCAATCGAATACCGGTGTTGGTACCAACACCAAAAAAAGTGTTTTTGCGGCGAGTTTTACTCCATCATTTTATTATGAAGAAAAATGCTTCACAAAGTAATTGTATTTTAGAAGAAGTTTATGGCGATCAAGCTCCATCTGAGCGAACGTGTCAGAAGTGGTATAAACTCTTTAAAAGTGGCAATTTCAACTTGAAAGATGAAGAGCAAGTCGGTGCGCCAAAAAAGTTTGAAGATGAAGAATTGGAGTCGTTACTCCTTGGAGATTCATCGCAAACGCAAAAAGAACTTGCAAAAACACTTGGAGTTACTCGGCGAGCAATTTCACATCGTTCAAAAGCAAAAGGAATGATTCGAAAGGCAGGAAATTGGGTACCATCGTCAACAATTGTCACAATAAAAAGTGGTAAAAATGAGAAGGAATGTAAACGAATTAGTTTTGAATGAATAATTTGTTTTTGTATGCACATGCTTAAAATTTTTGGTTTTCTAATGTGAGAATAAATCAAACAAAATTGTGAACGTAAATCTCTGTTGTTTGAATGTGCATCTCCTTCGTACACCTGCTGTATTTTTTTTGTAATAAAATTATTTTACATTTTTTTATTCCAATGTCTTTGCTTCATGTTTTTTTCCTACTTTCTGTATAGATATTTCATAAAGCTTCATGCATATAATTGCTCTATGCATGCTATATCTCTATGTTAGTATTTTTGTTTTTGTTCTTATTATTTCTTTGAAAAAATTAATTTTATTTAGCTTCTGATTTGCAAGAATGCGAGTGAGAGTTTGAGAGGGATAGAGAGAGAGAGAGAGAGAGAGAGAGAGAGAGAGAGAGAATCAAACTGGGAAATGAAGCATAATTAAAAACCATAACGTCGCAGTGACAATAAAAGCAGAACGAATTGAGTATTCATTGATCGACATAAATTATTGCATCTACATTTGTGTATATGCAAATAAAAACTAGTTTAATGAAATAGGTGTGTAAATACATATATGTGTTTACAAACATTCTTACATACACACATGAAAATAATAATAATTTATACATACACACTTAATAATTTGCTCACCGTCAAATAAAGGACCGAGATAAACAATAAAGAAAAATAAAAATTTTCAATGAATTTGAAGCAAACACTACCTAGTACAAATGTATGTTTCAACCACGGTATAATGTGCATAATCTGAGCGCAACGAAGCGAACATATGTTTGGGAAATAATTATTGCGGGATGAAACCGGCATTTCTATACTACTATTCACGTAATCAAAAAATTTTGTAGGATCTTCATCGATGAGCTGTTCCATCTCAAGCTTATAGTTTTTGAAGGCAGAACGAGCACAAGCTTTGTATTGTTTTCTCAATTCCGCATGTTCATGAACTGCTGAAAGACGTGATTTTTTTTGCTTATGAAGCGTGTTTACTCTGTTTTTCATGTTGATGAGATCTCTGCTGAACCATTTCGGATGACTTGAAATAGATTTGGTCTTCAACTTAACATTCTCTGAAATAACCGAATTGATGATATTGTAAAAATTACTAATATTTTGTTCCAAGTCAATTCCAGATAAAATGTCATTCCAATTCAAGTTGCACAAATTATTATTGATGACGTAATAGTCGGCTCCGATGAAATCATGGTACTTCAGTTTTAACGCAGTCTTGCTTTGGTTGTTATCAAAGTCGTGAATTTTAATTTCAAGTGCAAAAGGGTGATGTACTTCTCTTTTTAATAGATGATAATCGGATTTATGGCATGTAATCAAGTCAATGCAATTCGTCCAAACTAAGTCGAGCGTTGAACTATTTCGGTTGCTATGTTTGTTTATTTGAACTAAACCCAATTCATGGCACGTATCAAGAACGATCAATTCCTTTTTTCCCGTAGCATTCAATGGAATGGCAATTTCAGGATCTTCATTATCGTCAGTGAACCAGCATAATTTTGGTAGGTTAAAATCGCCAGATAGTATGATGACATCTTCACTGTCCATTTTTGCTGTCACTTCACGTATGGCTTTCATGTTAGCCTTGTAGACTTCGTAAGGAGAGTCTGGTCTAATATAGACTTCGATCAGAAAAATGTTTCTGTTGTTCGATTTCACCTTTGTCCAAACTTGTTCAGCTCCGTACGGTGCATCAGTTCCAATCAATTGTGATTTTATTGACTTATCAACGGCAATCAAAACACCGCCACCTCGTTTCTTCTTTGTAATTTGCCATTGTTCAGTCTCGTGCGAACGATCGCAGCGATAAACGGCAAAGTTTGGAGGAAAGATCTGCGATGAATGCACCGTGTCATCAATCTTTGTCTCGCAAATCATGTACATTTTTGCATTGCTTGTAATAACATCCGCATTAAATTCCGGCAATCTGGATTTCAGGCCGTTAACGTTTTGAGATATCGTTATGCAATGCGAAATACCTGTATTTGTTGATTTTTGTGACATATTGGGGAGATTTAGAATGGCCGGAACATTTGCTGTGTTTGAAATGGTTGGAGCATTTGGTATGGTAACGGGTTTTGTGCATACATGTGAGGTGGTGCAATGTGATAAGGTGTTCCATTCCAAAAAGAATAATTTGTATTAGGCAAAAATTGTTGTTGAATTGGATGTTGCTGCATTGGTTGTTGTTGTTGCACCTGAGGAACATGATTTCTTTGGTGTACCCGGAAATTATCATCACGACGACGACTCATATTTTTTGCGCCATTTGTATGAATGAACTGCTCTCGACGAGTATTCACTCTGTGGTGTGTATCATATCTGGAATGGTTTCTGTTGTCTCCAATCAAACAGTAATTTGGTTCAGCAGTAATTTTTCGTTGTGATACGTGGTTTTGCTCAGGAATACGTTTGTTTTTACTAGGTGCTGAAGTATGAACCGAGTTCACAAAAGTGCTTTGCTTTTTCTCCGCAACTGCTCTGTACACAAAAGGCTTTATAACGCACTCCGAGCCCCATCCATCCGAATTGGTAATCTTGTTACAAACCTCAGGAGACAAAGTTGAAATTTTAAATGATGAAAAATTTCGCGATTTACCTTTGAATCGTTTGTTTGG